CTACATAAGTCTGAAGCATGAATGAGCCAGTACCGGGCGATGCTGGTGACCGCTAGCCACTAAGTGCCGCGCTGACGGAGTTGCCGTGGTTGTGTGCGCCTAGTCGGCCACCTCTTGTGCCTAACCGGCCACGTCCGTGCGTGCCAGAGAACATTTTGTAAGATGCGATTTTGTCTCTCATGGCGAGGGAGCTTTCGTCGTGAGATTCGTTCACTTTCCGTACGGTCCACTTCGTTCGAAGTATACTACGCTCGCGGGTTACGTAAATTTGCAAAAAAAAGACTATAGAGAAAAGGAAAACCGCCGCAAGATAAGGAAGGAAAGAAAAGAGCGAACTGTGCGTAGAACGTCGAAATGAGGAGGGCATCGTTTGATAAGTAAATTTTCATTTTCTTCGTTCATTTCGACAGGAAATTAGGAAGAAAGATGAAATTAGTGGGAAAAAAGCTTCTCATGTAGCTGATGTTTTTTATAAATGTTCTGCATTATTTCTTGCGGCGAAAACGTAATTCCAGCCAAACTATGTTTAATTGTGCGATGCTTCAATGACTAACACAGAGAGTGCATTGTTTAATACAGCTTCTTCAAACAAGAAATTTAGAATAGTCTTGCTATGATGTCGATCATTTGCAAATTCCCGTATTTTTAACGATTACGAAAAGGTATCTAACTATACAGCACAAACTTAAAATCAGAAAAAAGGAAGAAAAGAAGAAGAAATGGTAGTATCAATTATAGGAAATTTGGTTTTCATAGCAAAATCACCCTATAAAATTAGTAGTAGAAATTTTTTCTAATAAATTAGCATTACTTTTCATTATTCGAGATATCTCCTTCAATGATTCGTTCCGATTTAAAACACTCGAACTTCTGTTGAATAATCTATTTAAAGCAACAGATCACGCTGTTCAAAGTTACATTATCACAATGTTATTTTACGTTATAAAATATGTAAAATTTTAAGAATTTAATAGATCACTAAATATTTAAACGTTGCTTCAAAAATATATTTTTGTGTGAATTCGAGAAAATTACGATTTTTTGATAGAAAATAATTCGTATTATATAGGTATATCTCAGTTATTTTAAATTATGTTCGATCGTATCGACATTGTTAAAAACCAAGAATCGAAGTAAAATTATATAATATTATCAAACTATAAAAAGTAATATAATTTTGGCAAGACATAAAACAATAAAAAAATTATATCGGCAAATCGTTAATACTTGACGATGTTGTGGTTATAAATATAACTTTTATGAAGATATTTTATTTCTAAGATAAAATTATCTACAACTCTTTTTTCGATGCTTACCTGATACCTTGTACTGCAGTAGTCAAATTGTTATAAATATTACTTAATGTATTTTTTCCATGCTGCTAATTAATTTTAATTTATCTGATTATTTTTTCGATCAACTCGATTTCTAATAAATACAGCACTGGTAGTACACCCCGAACGCAACCGCTCAAACTGTTACTGCGTATTACGTTACAACAGATAAATTTAGCATTTCTTTTGCACAGAACCTCATTGTACCGCTGCCAATACTGCAACGCGGAATTAATTGGCTGCTTGGAAGAGAACCAATTTCCTTCGATAAAAAAATCCGATTTATCTAATGTTACATATATATAGTGTATCTAATGTCGATACTTCCTTTTACACTTATATATGTTATCTATTTTTTATTCAAGTTTTATATTAGTCAAATAACCATAGTTTTAATGTTAGTACAGTATCAACAAAATATTCTGGAAAGAAATTATTCAAGTTGTTCAGATGATTTTTTTTTTAAATAGCATACTTTTTACAGTCGTAGTTTATTAGAAAATATATCTTTTATATAAATATTTATAGGATGAGCTATTGATCACCTTTTCAGATATTGTGAAAAGAAATTATAAAGTTATATTTATGATTTCTCTTCAAAGTAAATGAAATAAAATATTTTCTAAAATATTTATTATTAGGAAATGGTTTATTTGCATTTATTTATGAGGTGAACACTTTATCATCTTTTCACAGTTTCTGAAGAGAAATTATGAAGTTGCATTTATGATTTCTCTTCAAAATAATTGAAATAAGATAATTTCTATGATGATAGTATATTAGAAAATGTTTTTTCTTTATATAAGTTTATAGGGTCAGTTGATTATCTTTTTATAATTTCTGAAAAGAAACTATAAAGTTATATATATGATTTCTCTTCAAGATAAATTATGTAAGATATATTTGGTAGTCTCAATTTATTAGAAAATATTTCATACATGTATTCTATACAATTATGGGGTGAATTCTTGTTTACTTTTCCACAGATCCTCTTTTCTTCTTCCTTTCATGAATATCTAGTATTCACAATTTTAATCATATATTACATCTTGATCAATTTAAACTATGATGAATTGAAAATTAAGTCTATACTTATACCAATGATCCAATTCAAGTACATAGTATTTTAAATGAAAAAGGGTTATATCCATTTTAACTACACAAAAATGTAAAAATAAATTTATCTTTTTTTCCCTTATATCTCATTCAAAAATTGAAGAAGTAGCTCACAATATTCCATGAATCTTTTATATACAATCACATTTTCCAATGAGTAAAATAATAACATTACTTCAAGTTTACTTGAGAACTCATAATAAAAAAAAAAATAAAACAGTTTATTTCATATCACAAATTATTCTTGAACCACAACTTTAATATGTATTGAATGATGAGGTTAAGTTAAGAGTAGTTTTAGGGGTAACATCAATCCCACCGCTTTTTCTTAATTTGCATGATCGCTTAATCGTACGAAAGCAAAGTATAAAGCAAACATTGAACGTTGGTTTACGCAAAAACGTAGACTAAACAATTACCATTTCGGCAGACACAATAACACGAAGCGGAACGTTTTGAGCAACACGTATAGTTCGTACAGAGTCGCGTCCGAAAATTCAAAGGATGCAGACTACCAGTACAGTGTGAATTATAGTAATATACAAGAGAATTATCTGCAACGTAGCGTATCTGCGGACAATGTTGTAATACGTTCCCGTGGTTTCAAGCCCTCTGATAGGCACGATCCCGTGAAGAGGAATTTTCTTGAGAATCTTACTTCGAAGATACTACATTTCGATATGGTGAGTATTTACAACTGTAAAATGTAAATTTGTCATTTTTTTTATGGTTTAAATAAGATTTTAAGTTACAAAAATAATGATTGCATTTTGCTATTTAGAAATAATTTCTTGAAGCTATGATGAGTAGTGTAGTACTAATAGTTAATAGAAAAAAAATTTCTCCTTTAAATTTTAAATATTTACATAGAGTCAGTTACTTAATTAATTAAAAAACTTTCTTTTTCATTTTTCTTTTTTTTTATATGTTTAGAGAAGAAATAATTTAAAATATATTTTATAACTGATAAATCACTTCTTAGAAGTAATAAAATATTATTGCACCTTTATGTTTATTGTTGTTATTAATACATATACGTGTATAATTAATATTAAGTGTTATGACATCTAAAATAAAGGAAATGTTGATCATTTTCAAATTACTTGATTTAGGTTAAAGAATGTGATTTAGAATAGAACATTTCGAAATTGTTAACTTTTAATATTTTAATAAATTTGGATATTAATACAGTATTAATATTTATCTTACATTATTTGAAAAGAAGGAAAAAAAATTTGGAAAATAAGTGCAGTATTCCTTTATTTAGGAACTTAAATATATAACAGATGTACGTTAAGATTTACAAGCGTATATTAAATTTAGCGAGTCTCTAATTTATGATACAGAAACAACTAAATTGACCTACAATACTACAATAGCGCTATGGCCGTAGCGCTGTAAACTTGGCTAGTTTATATTCCTTTGTTTTTATAATTGTGTTCACACAATCTTATCTGTTTGAAATTAATTCATTATAAATGCATTTTATTTATTTCATTAAATGCATATTAAAATGCATAGCGATATATTGCAATACAATCATAATAAGAACATATAGGTTTATGTTTTAATAATGAATTTTATAATAATAGTATTACATTATTATTTATAATATTAATATAAATTAATATTTTATTCGTTAATATTAAATTTATAATACTAAGATTGCAATTAATACAAATAAATAATATAAAATTTTAATATTTAATTTTGGTTAAGTTATGATTCTTTATTTTATAATACTAACTTCGAAATATTTTTGCACTTCAAAAGTTTTCAAATTTAATTTCTTATTTACTCTTGCGAATTTTAATATACTTACATTGTTGTATAATTTGATATACATGCTTTTGTTTTTGCATAAACTACATATTTTTTATTATTACATAAAATACGAATTATAAATAAAGAAAATTAATATAAAATTTTACAGAAAAAAGATATAATTATAAATAACGTATATTCGATAGTGTGAAATCAATTAACAGAACAATTAAATTAGCTAAAAACAAATTTGAATGAAATAATTTTTCCTTATTCTAAAATATTATACATAATTTTAGATATATAAAAGTATAGAATGTTATATAAAATATAGAAAATTTTGTGTAAATTTACTTTAACATTTATTTTAATAATTAATATTTAAAAAATTAAAAAGACATAGTTAATAGAACTGAATTCTCAATGATTGTTATGCCTTAATGACACAATGAAGAAAATATTCTTAGCAGTACTCATGTTACTTCTTATCTTTTCTATTAAAAATTAATAATTACAATTTTAATGCTAATAAAATATTATTCCAGAACCTAAGAAGGAAAATATTATTTTATCTTAAGATAATTTATTTTTTTTTTTATTAAGTGATAAAAGAAATCAGTATCAAAATGACGACTCGTATTAAATATCAAAAATTAATTAAATAATTAAATATTTAAGTGACTTACTTCGTCAGAACATAAATTTTTGAATATATTTACACCATGTGTCAGGCTACTTGGATGTAGTGAATAAATTGGGATTTAACCTTCAGATTCAAAATAAATGCTTCTGTTCTTTGAAAGAACGTGCAAAAAACAATGGAAACATTATAGTACACTTTATCGTATATCTTTCAAAAATAAACAATGGAACTATATCAGTACATCCCATAAATGGAAACAAGTAAACAATGTTATACAGGTATAAATTCGGAAATAGCTGATTAGAAAATTATAAGAAAATTATTAAAGAAAATAATTACCAAAGTTGTTCATTCGAAGACAAGTATGAGAAGAATTATATAAAATATTAAATATATACAAAACTAGAATATTAAATAAATTTATACTATAAGTATAATTCATAACACCATAAAAGTATTTATAATAATTCATATTAATTATATTAAAACAAGATAAATACGATGAATACTCAATCTATTAATGATGTCAAATTTATATTAACTACCAAAAAATAGGAATTTGAAGTAGATATATAAATAGAGTTTTCTCCTAATACAATATATTAGGAGAAATTAGGATAACATATTATATAAGGGACACAAATTTTCAATAATTTTTCATAATTTTCTCAATTAGAATAATGAAGTCCATAAAAATTAATATATCAATAATGAATTCATTTTTATTATTTTCACATATTTTTATTTTTACTAGAATGCTTATTATAAATTTTTATATTTATATTTATATACAATATCTTTTTTATTTCCTTTCGTCACAAAACACAATAATAGAAATTGATTGTTTAATTTCGAAATTAATTAATGTAATTAATTTCTTTAAACAGGATATTTTTCTTCTTATGTGAAATAATTTTACACTGTTTTCATTTTAAATAGTATATCTTGCACTTGCACTTGCAAATCTTGCATAGATTTGTATTAAAATTGTAATAGATTATTATGTACAATGGATCACAGAAGTATTCTTACCATCTCAATTATTAAATTCGAATCTATAATAATATTTATCCAGAAATATTTATCAGCAAAAATAAATAGCATAATCATTAATTTTTCGATTTGTATATCTTTTAGTAAAAGATAATAATTTATTGTAATATAAATGTAAATGTAAATAAATCATTTACATATATTTAGAATTCACTAAAAAAATAATCAAACGGATATTAACCACCAAAAAGCTAAAAATAAATATAAAATGTCTAATTCGAATTATTATATTATAATACAGAAGTTAATTTTATAAATTTTCAAATTATAATAACACCTCCATTATAACATAAATTTGGCGATTACGTTTTTATCGATAATATATACGAATAAGATGTAGTTATTCCAATAAAATATGATATATTCGAAATTTATTGAATATATCTCACAATAATAGAAAAATAATTTCTATTTTCAATATGATAACAGTTTTAAACATAGAGTGTTGAGACACACATTATGAAACAATTAATATTAATTGTAAACAATATACCACATCTTTTGGCAAAAAAGATTACGAAATTATGAAATTTCAAACAACATAATGAAGATTTTAAAAAAAGGTGAAGGGGTTATTTCCCTGCAGAGCACTATTTTTAATAGATCTTTGAAAATTTTTTCTGCAAAGAAGCAAATCTTTTTCGACTTGATTTGAATACAAGTTTGTAGCTCTATATTTCAGAATTATTCATAGTTTCTTTCATACAAAAATATTAAGAATTACAGGAGTTATAACCAATCTAATAAAGATCGTAAAAGAAAAAAGTGACTCCGTGGTTGTCACAATTTAGGTCGTTCTGTTTATCAAAAATGGAAAAATTTTAAAAGTATTCTATTCAGTATGAATGTGACTACAGCTGGACTTAGAATCTTCCCAAAATATTAGAAATTGAAAATTTAACAGCACTCGAAAGTCAATTAATCGATCTTTTCTTGATTCTTTCGTATTTAGTGGACTCAAAAAAATAGTAAAAACCATCCGATTTTAAAAATTCTAATTTTGACGATAAAGACATATGTACTGAAAATTCTCTCCAAATTTAGTGGCAATTGGTTGGCCAGAAACTTAAAGTGCTACGGAATTGGAATTTATAGAAAGTTATTCACGGTATGCCAGATAAATTGAAGAACATGATTAAATTTAAAGCTTGAGAAAATATTAGCTCATAATAGATGTGTTGCAGTTGGCATACATAATGCAAATATGAATATTTTTTGGCATTGAATCTACGATAATTTATTCATATTGGGCATTTATATTAGAATTATTATTTTTCCGTGAATGACATCAATTAAAAGTTTAATAATTATTATACTATGTATTCTTTTGATACGTATTTTAGGATATGTATTGTCAAAAAATATTAATGGCATAACACGATATATGATACATTGATCATCGAATTGTACAATTTGAAAAATATTATTTGCAAAATTATTTTTGTAATTCATCATTTGATTAAATATAATGAATATATATAATATATACAAATAATACTATATATATATAATTGAAAATTTTTAGTTAAAAAATAAATAAAATTTTTAATTAAAATATAATTGAATATATTTTAGAACTACGAAGTATGATATGCGATATGTTTATATTGATCATCAATTTCTTTTTATGTTGTAGGAGAACAATGGAAGTGCCCCGGTTAATTTACAAAAATTACTTACTCCTGCCTCAGATTCGCAGGAAATTATGCAATCGAAAAATAGTAAGTTCCTATTCACTTGAAGAATATTATTTTTATATTAAAATTGAAAATTAAATGAAAATAAATATTAAGAACGAAAATTAAAATTTCAATTTTAACTTAAATTGAGAACCATTGACGTCTATGAGCATAATTAACAATTATACACGTCAGTGAACCATTTGATAGAAAATCATTATACAAAAGAAAAATATAAAAAAACATTATACATTTCTTACTATATGCATATGTATATGTTTCTCAGTATAATTCATAACGTAACTAGTCATAACTAATATCATATTAATATACGAATGCAAATATATGACAAATTCTTTACAGGGAAGATGTTTGCATCTTCGTATTTTTATGCACCGACACATCCAACCGTAGAGGATCAAGTTGAACTCGCTCGACGAATTTCACATTCGTTGAGCGATGTAAAAAACATGAAAAGTAAAGGTCAATCCATGTATGTGAACAGGAAGAAACGATCAGTGAAATGGATTCATGATGGCAATGGTACGTATACATGTACGTGATATGCATCGGTGATTACAAAGGTGGCCTAAGTGGTATATGTTTCTACTCAAAATATTAAATGTTGAATAAATTAAGAATTTAATTACGACGAAGCTACAAATTTAATCTAATGATTCAATTTTTCTTTATTTTATCAAAAATAGTTTTATTTTATTTTAATATAAATAAACGCAGCACAAAATAAATGGTAAAATCATTACTTTCAGATTTTTTACTTGCAATTAAACCACATTCATAATTATTGGCATGTGTACGTGGAGTAATATTAATTTGATATAATATTATAAATTTCATATACGTTACGTGATAAATTGGAAATATTTATTAGCATAAATTTGATCTAGATATTTATTATAATTAATACTAATTATTAAAACTTTCGTAATATGTACATCTGTAACTTTCTATGGTTGTAAAAATTGTTCTAAAATTGTTTCTTAAATCAACATATTACAGGTATAGAAGATGCAGAAGAACCCCTAACATCTGTTCACAGAGTAAGTGGTGTGTGTTCAAAATTGCAGTGCGTATTTTTATATATTTTCACGAAGTTTATAGTGAAACAAATATCATTTTGATAGATATTAATTCGAGTCACATTTTTTTTCAATAATTCATATATTCGATATTTTATAATTATTTATATTCTAAATACGAGATAAAGTAAAAATAAATATTTTATCTAGTAGACTAATTTGTTAGAATGAATTTTATGCAATATTATTTAAATATTAGTTAATTTTATACTTGCTTTGAGTTAAATATTAGTGTGAAAATATAGTTCTTTTATTTATAATTTAATTTATAATTTATTTATAAAATATTTGTTATGAAAACAATTTTTTAGTCTTTTACTAGAAATAATAACATAGCATAATGTTAATGTATAAAAATCTAATATTATATATTTACATATGTTAGGATTAAATTAGAGTAATATAAAGAATAGATGTTATTCAGTATACTATTAATAAATTATTGTATTCTAAAAATGTAAAAATTATTCATTCAATTCACGAAGACAACAAATTTACTTCCATTTCTATATAATAATAATTATAATTTAAAATTAATATATGAAAAATAAACATATTTGTATATTTAAATTTATTTTCAGAAAATTTGTTGTGAATATAACTTAATTTTTACACGTAATTTCAAAAGTATTTATTATGAATTGAATATTAAATATCTATCAAAATGAAACTGGTAACAAAAAGTAAATGAACTGTTGTCTAATTTATTTCATGCAAAGATATTTCATAGAAGACTATTTTTTCATTAATTAATTATAATCTAACAAATAAAAACAATTTAATGTATATGTAGAGTTATAACATTACTTTGTATACTCATTTGCAAAGATAAACTTACGTTATACTTTATTGAAAATATTATTTTAATAGGATAAAATTCCATTAAAATGTATGATGAATCCACATGGAAAAGTGTTGGACATTCATGGAATTCAAGCTTTGGGTGAAGAAGTGAATATTGAACCAATGCCGAAAAATCCAGAAAAACTATTTGATATTGTTCGTGATTTAAATAATCAACGGGGCCGTGGTAATGGTCATTTCTTTCTTATGTCTGAATATTCATACATTAATATAATATTGTATAATATTTTTGCAATATTAATTTTATTTTATTTTATTGATATTAAAAAAATCAATAAATAAAACAATTGCAAAATATTTTAATTATTAATTATTAATTTGATAATATTTAATATCTTTTGCGACTTTATTGAATCAAATCAAAGACATTAGATGACGAAATTCAAGGAATGATTATTTTAAGTAAATGAGATTGTGTTACGAATGATTAAATGTGGAACTGATTTATAGGTGCTGAAATATTTGCGAAACGCAGGAAAAGATCCGAAAAATGGGTCGTAGACAAAGATCAGCCACAAACACCAAGCACACCTGGTATGCCAAAAATGCCAATGTATGCGGGGAAACCGGTAAGACTAACCTTCATAAATAACAGTTTATATACGATTAAATAATCACTATAGCTAATGACTATCTTCAACATAATAAAAAGAAAAATTTTTAATATTAAACGAAATTATTGTACTTGGGCTTACTTGACATAGGAAATGAATGGCAATTCAAAGTTCTCGACTCTGCCCCCTCTTACGCCTATAGTACCTGAGCCAGTCATCGAGAAATCATTTTACAATCCCTTTACCGTGGACCTGTCTTTAGATGATACGGCTCCACCTACAACGGGTGCGTAAATCTTATACAAATTTATATCTTCTTTATCCTACGCAATCTAGTTGGCACGTTTCTATTTGGCAACTCTCCATGCTATATTCTCGTTTGTTCGAATTGTTTTCACATCATGAGTAAATATCTAACGATTTCCAAGGACTTCGAGCTAAACTACTTCATACTTATTTCTAGTTGATCTGTGATATACTATTATTTTGATCTGCTTTTACCTTTCAAGTAGATTTCCAACCTATAAAATAATATCGTGATAAACTAAAAAGGTCATTCGGAGATATTAAGAGCATTGACACGTCCTATACCTACGAGTTAATGTCAGACTTGTCTACTTCGTCATAGGTTCAATAACCTAGAAGCTTTTAATTGGCAAACGATGTCGATGTTATTCAGTCTACGCGACACTACCGCCGCATTCTTTTTCGGTGTATATTTAAAATAAACAACTAGCTACACATCGTTGCCAATCGATACCTTCACGCTGATTAAAGCCATTTATATGCGAGTTACAGCACATTGACATTTAATCTTGCTAAAACTAGCAACACTTTCTAAACGAATTATACTTACGTAATAACTTCATTTTCTTATTTTTAACAACTTTAGGAGAAAATATTTATCTATGTGATTATACTCTACTATGAGTTTCTTACTATATTCAATTGAGTTCATGTAAGATATATGTAGAATATAACATAATTTTATAATATATGGAATATCAATATATTAAATATAATTGAATGATTTTATGACATTAAAAAAGATATTATATTATAATATTAAAAATAATATTATCAAATATATGAGCGGAAATAATCTCTGCGATTTATAATAAAGTAATTAAATAAAAGTAAATAGATTGAAAATTGAAAATTCGAAAAGACTTTTACAATTTTACAGGCCGAAATCAATATCGATGTAATGGTAAAGAGTGCAACCATATGACTGAAGTAAAAAAAATTTATCTGAGAGAAGTGGCTGTTGGTACTGACAATGATCTTCCCTTCGATAAATCTCGATCGTCGATAGTTGAGAAATCACGTCGAATCAGTTTCGAACCTGACGTTGAGCGACATAACAGTTATTATGGCAGAAATAACACTAACGAGAATACGTCGATTACCACTAACAGACGCAATCATAATTATAACAAGGCTTCGCTGAACAAATCTAATTTTTCTAATGCGCAGCATGCTACTAACAGAGAGGTTAGAAATTACATAAAGGAACAACGGGTCACGGAATGTGTAAAGAGCACGATTAACGACAACGAAAAGTTTGTGAATAATCAGCGGCAAATTGATAACGAAGAAAATGAATACACACCGATTCCGGTCAAACAATTGATACAAGAATTTGAAAAAACATGCAGACCGATTATGCAATATAAACAATTCAGTCCAAAGGTTATTCCAATTGTGCAGCAATCTTCCCTCGATAATGATATAACGCGATTCTTTGAAACACAAAATTCCGTTAAATATAATGCTGAAGAAGAACATAGGAGGTGAGATAGAATAAAATTTAGAACAAACTATTAAATATTTTAAATGGAATTCTATGCTAGGTTATTAGTAACTTGAATCGACATCTCTTTTATATTTTTTTATTTCGTAATTGAAATATATTGATTAACGTAATTGACAAAATGCTATTTCATCATTAGTTAGGGTATTTTGATCCCTTTTTTATTTTTTATGTAATACGTCATTTTCGTCTAGGTTGTTATTATTTCCTTCGTTCAAAGTTTTCCACCATTACTATTTTTAATTACCCTTATCATGTTTCATTCTGAAATCATCATGAGTAATATTATCCTTTTGTATACATACCTAATCATTAGTATAGAATTATTTTTCAATGATAGACAAATTAGCATACTCAACTTATTTGATAAATTTTACAATGTTATGTAATAATATTTTCCAATATTTCTAAATTCAGTAAAAAATAGATAATAATTAAAATAGTGATCTCTTCAAAAAATATTTTGATATTTCTCATGTTATGATAATTCTTTCTTACTAACGCCTTATTACTTGCTGGATTCACTTTTAAATAAATTTTTGAGAAATCAAAGGCTTTGTCGTATTTGTTATACAAAATTTTATTTATATTAATTTTTATGTAACATCTACTGCAAATATTTAAAAAAAAAAAGAAAAATACGTATGAATATACGTATAATAAATTCGAATCAATCATGAATTATATTTTAAAACCGATTATTATTCGCGTTAATCAACGTGTAGATAAATAGCATAGAATTTCATTTATTGAATTTTCATTAGACCTTCATCGAGAATCAAAACAGGCTACAATCTTATATTACTTGATCACAAAACAGAATAGCCGAACAACAAAGATACGAAGAACTTGTGAAGCTCCAAGAGCATTGTAACAATGGCTACATGTCAACTGATGACACGGAATACACGACTGATGGAACGGATTCTCAAATAAACGATTACAGCGAAGAAATGATCTATCGTGAAAAATCGGAATCTTCGAGCATAATGAACGGTGATCAAGAATATTCATCGATTTATCGCGAAGAATGTTCCAGTCGACGTCGATCTGTGACATCCGAGGAAGTAGAAAATTTCTGCAACAATGTAGAGGGAAAATATATAAACACAGAATCGGAAGTGCCTGCAGAAGCGAAATCTTTATTACTCTCGATGATAACTTCCCAAGAAGATATTTTGGAAACTATCAAGCATTTACGTAGCACACCCGTTTTGGACAACCTTTTGCATGGTGTTTCGCCGGATTGTAAATTTACTGACATCTGTCCAGACGTAGGCAAGTTAACTCGCATGCGCTTTCATTTCGTTGATATCTACATTACTAACTGAACTTCATTCTCATCTCACAAATATTATCGAATCACACTTGCATTTATTTTGCGCAATGCCATCTAGCGTCAGGATTACAAATAACGATGAATTAGATTCCTTTATGAAGTTGGGAATTTTGTAACACAACATCCCTTGATTTTTATACATTTGTAGAAAAAATATTGAAAAGAAATATGCAGTTTTAAAAAAATCAAATTTATTTTTGTAGGTAAAAAACTTTACGAAGAAAATACGTACACAGGACCAAAACTTGCAAGTGTTCACAACCTAACCAATTACAATACGGCACCTCGAGGCTGGGATCAGTCCTTGACTTATTATCGACCGATTAAATTCGAGAAACCTCAAGAAATTGTTTATTCTGATTTTTAGATATAATTTAATAAGTATGACATTACATACTTAGGTACGTTCAATTTCTCACGTTACAATTTAATTTGCATATATAGTTAACTTTGAGTTTGGAAAATTTTAAGAAAAATAATTTTTTTACAGGAACCAAAAATATCACTACAGAATTGTTCTTTCGAATGTCGCATTACAGATTATTTGAACGTTTTCCCTCGTTTACAATGAATTCGTCTTTTTTCTTTTCATATTTTTTTGATTTTGCCAGATACGAAGATAATATTGAAAATAATTGTCGTAAATAACGAAGAAACTTTTGTACTACTAAATAGTACAGTATATATTTATATGTCTTGAAGCTTCGTTTTGCTTGATGTAGCTATATACCAGTCCCATTATTAAGATGATGATCCTTATTTATGCTTCTCAGCAGTGTTATTGCATTTTACTTTATAATATTATATCAATAAATGTTGTTTTCATAACAATAAGGTGTATTTCGAATATATTATTTATTTTGTTTTGAAGTGTAATTTTGCAAAAGTATAAACACCTTGTATTTGTTAGTATTTAATTGTTTCAGCAATCAACATTATAATAAAAATATTTTATATACAATTTTCTACGTTTTCGTGATTCTTGGCCTTTAAAACAATTTATTAAACAATTTACTATGAAGCGAAAGTACTTTAATTGTAATTGTACAGTAGATCAATTCTAAACGTACATGTAAAATGATTTATAGATCTTAATAACCATTATGATAGATTTCGAAATCATAATTACAAATTTTTAATCAGGAAATTATCTTATAAATGTGATTTATATATATAACTTTTCAAAAATTAATATATTTCTTATTTAGATATACATTCTCATATATATATATAAAGAGAGAAAATAATCTTATTGGGATATAATAAAGTATTAAAATATGAAATGTTTGCATGAAGTTTCAATAACGAAAATTTATGACATAAAATAAAAATGAAAAATTTTAATTGTCATTATTAAGAATTACAATTTAATAATGTTTTAATATATTTATGTTGTATTTTTATATTATACTTTATATATATATTATGCTATATTAAATTTTTTAAAAGTTTATCAGAGTGAGTGTTTAAAATATATTAAAATAACAACATTTTTTTTAAAAAGTTTTTGCAGCACTGACCATGGAAAGGAAAATGAAAATATTTTTTCTTTCGCACAAAAATTGGTGTAATATGATTTTTCAGCCAATTACGAATCTAAATTCGAAATTATAAAAACACAAAATGGAGGTCAAAAATGGCAGCACAATATATGACAATAATATTAAATTTTGATTTTAAGTTTAGAAATAAAAAAAACTTATCGAAAACGAATCGAAAACGAATCGAAAACTTCAGAATAAATAACATAAGTAATATTTAATAACTACGAAAAATTTAATTAAATTATAACAATATTATGTATGTATATACCATTATATACGAAATATCTTTTTCTGCCATCATGTAGAAATTACCACATTGTGTTTTGTCTTTTGGTTATACATTCATAATCAATAATCTAGAAAGCATTATTTTATCAATTTTCGTTCAAATCAAAGGTTATGTTATAAATTTGTGAATTTCTTATCGTTATGATCAAATCGTTTGATCGTACGGATATGACTGACAAAAGTGGCCGTAAGTCATAAAATCGCAATTTATCGCAGACAAATGATACGAGGACTTGTTTACTAACTTCCAAAGTTTATTGTAAAAGCAAAAGGGATGTTTGATCTCTATAAAAAAAAATAATTTTATTACCAAAAAGGAAAAAAAATATTTCCCGTTCTCTTACCAACCATAACTCTAAAAAGTGTAATAAAGTAATGGAGTCAGTTTGTTTATTACGTTTATGCATCCTAATTAATATTATTCATTGTTTACTATCGTAAGAAGCCGATAATGAATTATAAAGTTAGTGTCAAATATTGTTAAAAAAATTTCTTTTTCTTCCTCTCCCTATCTTTAAATTTTCTTTCTACATTTAAACAAATTGCTAGCTAAAAATTTAATTATTTGTAAATAAGATATGCTATATATGTAGATTTTTAAAATATGACAACAAATTTTTTGTGCTAATTTTATTATTACTAGGAAATTAAATAATTTATTCAATAAATTATTTTGGATATTTTGGATATTTGAAAGAATTTTAATTTTATTATTTTTGTTAAGGGATAATCATTTGCAAATTTTTATATACTTTTTATCTTCTAAGATACATATATTAAAATTAAAAATAGGATGAAAAGATAAGATATTATACTCGTACATCAACAAATAGTGAATTCTTTTTCGAGTATCTTGTATAAATCCTATTTTCAATTTTGATCTATGTATCGCAGAAAATGAAGAATATACAAAAATTCGCAATTTATTATTTTGTTTCTTAATTTATTTCAATAAGTGTATTTCAGAAATTGGAACACTCGTACTTTTATATTCTACTGATTTTGTGACCTCGTTATACCTTTTGAATTAACTATATATAGTAAAATTCTGAAAGTATATTTTAAAGAGTATTAAAATACTGAAAGTATATGCTTATATACCAACAAGTACTAAAATTCTAAAAGTAATAGTATTTTGGCGAGTACTGAAAGTATTTATATCCTAAAGAATACTAAAACTATATTTCGAGAAATATAATTTAGTAAGTACCAAAATTATAAAAGTATATTTTAATGTGTACTAAAATTCAGAAAGTAAAACTTAATGAGTGTTAAAATCCAAACACTAGTATTCAATAAATACTAAAATTCTGAAAGTATTTATATTTCAGTTAATACTATAATTCTAAAAGTATATCCTAATAAGTGTTAAATATCTCGTAGAAGTTACATTTATTGTACAATTAGGTTGTTTTTTATTTTTTAAATATAATGTTATAAAATTCTGATTTATTTCTGTAGTGTATATATAACATTTTGCACTTTCAATCAAAATCATTGCCAGCACATAGTGTACTATATAATTTTCATACTTTGTTTATTTTAATGATAACTGAACAGATGTTAGTGTCATTGCAATAGGAATAAAAAGTCCTTGATAAAGCTACAATCAATCGTTATACATTTCCCTATATAGTATTGGTTATTTTGCGTTTATCCGTGCAAATGATAAGCTACACGTAGTTGCGATACATGCAAGATTAAATTTATTAAATGCTATCTCTCAACTTATTATTCCTTATTACGATAAGTGTTGCAAAAATTATGACAAAAGTAATCAAAAAATACAAAACGAGGAATATAAAAATTAACTATACTTGTGGACTTGTTACATGACAATAAATGTACGTATACTACGAATTTTTTCTACTTTTACGGATTACAATATGGTAAATTATGGTATGGTAAGCTATAATATGACAAATTATAATTAATTATAATTAGCCATGCGACTTGCACATCTCAAATAACTTTTAAATAGTACATTACATGAACAAATTTTTCATACATAATTTGTATGGTTTAAAGAGGTACATTACGTATTGTATGTGTGTATTTTATAGTTGGAGGCGTTTCGGAGATTTAAAGGTTGACTTCGCTTTTTTAAAAAAACGAATTCCACATTTTTTTATATCAAAATATGGAAAAATATCGAATTCTGAGTGAAAAAGGTACTGACGTTTATTAAGCTCTGAAGTTAGATAGTTACCAACTAATTTCGTTTTATTTCTTGAAAATTTTCTGCATACTATGCACATGTGGCAAGAAAAATACTGGGCAGCAATTTTCCAATCAATGGATTGGTCGTGGAAAACAACTTCTGTGGTCAGAAAACTCACCAGACTTCTAAATTATTTTTTGTGGGGTATAAAAGAAGATATAGTGTATCGTGAACCATAACACTTAAGAGTGTAGAACACAGATTTCAGAAAGTATACATCATACTCGGTGTGAATACGATTTTGAGTGCAGTTTCTTCATTGCTTAATAGATTGCATCGTTGTACCAATGTCGATAGATTCTTCAAACACCTACGTTGGTTGCGATAAGGTTCAAGAGGTCAATCTTAGTGATAAACGTGGTCACGTAAATATCGCTGTCCTGCAGAAATCTGTGACAACGATGAATTTCCAATTTATAAAGCGAATAATAAAGCGAAATTACTCGTACCTAACCCAAACCTATCTAAGTTTAGGGCTAATAAACGTCGATACTCATTTTACTCAGAATTCGGTCCTCTTATTTTTTGGTAGAAAAAAGTATAGCATTCCTTTTTCCACGATAGCGAAGTTAACATTCCAATCTTCGAAAAGCCTCAGCCTATAAAAAAAATACATGCAATACATAATGTGTCTCTTTAAACCGTGCAAATTTTGTATGAAAAATTTTTTTGTTCGGATACGCGTGTTGACCAAGTAACGCGGTTCGTCACGATTTCACCAACTGCCCACAGTATGAAATGTTTATGATAGCACCTTGTTGGATTCATCTTAACGACCACTGTTAAATTATGAATAAAAAAGTATAGTATTCTATTTAAGAAAATTAACTTGACCTTGAAATCTTCCATATCGTTCTGCATACAAAAAAAGTATTTACACTATATTATGTTCACCTTTATGCCAAATAATTTTCGTAAAAATATTTTTGTAATAGCTTCAGTTCCTTTTGAGATATTCCAGAAAGTTCAGATAAAACAGCCACACATATATATGTATATGTTTCAGACTATTTATTTTATTGCTTCGCGTTCATCAATCCAATGGCAAAAGCAAAAAATAAAGCCTTGTAAAATGGAAAAAAATTATAAGTGACTAAAAGAATAAATTATATTTACTTAAAAACTTCAAGTCCAGATTATTCCACCCATTACATTCTTTATTCAAATTTATTAATGTAAATAAAAATTTACTAATTAATATTTAGAGGTAACGAAATGTAATTTATATATTTTTAGTTTTAGAGATTATGCTTATTGAACATCAGTGTATTATCAAATTTAATAATTATTGTATGATACGATACGATACGATCTGATATGATAATTTTAATATTATTAATCAAAACAGGTATTAAGATAAAAAATTTTAATTAAACAAGTGAGAATATTCTGTTTGTCATTATTCTATTAGTAAACGTATTAAACAAGTTACATCCATGCCTCTATTTCAAAAATAAGCCTAATATAGAGAAAATAGACAATATCCATTTACTTTAAAAATCAGCCACATGGTCATTTCTAACATATAAAAATCAGTCAAAATTTCTGACATATACTAATTATATTATTTAATATTTCAAAATACTAACTAATTTTATATAACTCGATTAATATTCTATACTAACTATAGTACAATATTCTATACTAATTTTATACACTCGACAAAATTTTAATAACCACGGTTTGTGAATATTTACCCCATTCTAACGTATCATTTGACACACTCATACATTGGACAAGCCTTTTATTGTACAAGTTAAATAATTACTATGCAGAGATGGAAAGAAGACACTGGTCACATAAACTCTAAGGGATACAGGGGTAAAGGGAATCATCCAGTGCGAATATCCCTATGTTCTATTCCTATGTGTTACGGCCTGCACAAGTTAAACTATCAGTTAAACTCAGAGAGTTTCCCCCACTCTACCTCCATCATCTATCATATGATAGTTTCTATTTGTTCTTGGGTGATGTATAGTGTCAATGACTGCACATGGTGGTGGGGAGTAGCGTTACTCTCTTTCTGACCTATCGCAGTCACATATAATTGTCGGAGGGAGGGGGGGACTAAACAATGTGAAGGGACCCGCACGAGAACAGGTCTACCATACATGAACGATAAAATATTTCTTCCCTCAATATTTTTAACCTCGCTTTAGTATCTCTAATAGTACATACAATTACATCCTACCTTTTCGAAACGATAAAACGTACAAAAATACCACTAAACAACGCACCAGACAAAAGAAAAAATTTGTTGTCCCGTCAACTGATCTGATTAAAAACAAAGTAAATACTTTGTATCAGACATACTGTTCTGTGCTTCCGTCAATACTTATCTACCACTGTGTACATACAAAACCGATAATAAGTGAAATGTATCGAACTTGACGGATAATTTTCGTATTTGTATAAAAGCCACTGATCGATCGGTAACCGCGAACTTTTCTCTTCGGCGCAGTCGCGGGACGTCATCGCGAAGTAACGGTATAAATAAAAGAGTCGGTGATTATTTCATTAGTTGTGAGTGAGAGTTAATACTGTATCGACTATGTTGTGGCCTAACAGTTTGCTTCCGTTGATTTTGTTTTTGCTGTTGTTCATCTATGGAGAATCAGCGAGCATACGAAGAAAAGTCAGCCAAACTTGTGGTTATGAGGTACACATCGTTTTTATTTAGCGAATTTTATTATTCTTCATTTACAATTGAAGATTTATTTGTATAAAGACCTGGATATTAATTGGAATGACACTCGCGGCCGGTTGACGAAATTTTGAGGGAAGAAGGGGTTGGACGAATTGGTGCAAATATAAAATTTTAGCTTTGGGAATTAAATAATTTTTAAGTATATACAATCACAGAAGGCACATAGACAGTTAGGAAATTAATTCAGTTTTCAAATAGTACGAATTTTTTTATGACTTAAACAAAAATACAACAGACGAATCTCTAATGTCAAATGAAGTAAGGAAATCAGCAAGAAAAAAGTGTAAGGACATTCCTTTTTTGGTAGTTCTTGCATCTAAGTGTAACTTGTTCGATGGTGGTTGAAAACACAGAAAAGGGTACTTTTGGCCAACATTATAATATAAATAATAAATAATAAATTTTAGTGGATGTAAAAGAAACGACGATTTGTAAAAGAATTTTATTTTATTCTAAGCGGTTATTGTTACGAAATTAATTATGATCATTAGTTGATTTCGTTTAAAAATATTCATGCATCTATTGATGATAATAAAAATCAAAACATTGGGGGAAACCCAGATTTCTTTTACTTTGTAGAATTTCATCATAATTTTTATCACAATGAGCGTTAAAATAAAAAGAAACTACAGTAGAGAAAAGAAAAATTGTAATTAAATTATGAAAAAGTAGGAATTAATTTTTCGAGATTGGTGAAGTGGTAAAAAATTGGTTTTGGAAGTTCGGGTAAGTTAACTGAAAGAAATGAAAGATTTAGTATAAAGAAAATGAAAGAAAATCCATTTGAAAGTGTGCTTAAAATCACAGCAGAATTATAGGCAAGGACTGGTAACCTCTATTCAACAATATCAAATAAACTTACAGACTAAGGATATATCACACGAGTAACGAGTACCTAACCTAAACTCTGCATCAATAAAGTAGATATAAAGAAAATACTTAACTTCACAAGTACTTACATAAATAAATCATTAACATTTTGGAAACGGATTATTTATACAGACATGAGCAAGTTTAATATTTGGAGTTCAATTCAATTTTCAAAAAATGGCGGAGGTAGCAATGGACTCTAAAGTGAGCAAAACTTCGGATGCTAAAGCAGGCACTACTATACATTGTTAGTCAATTTCAAATCTTGAAAGGAAAAGCCACTTTCGCGTCAATTTATTGAAACTTGAAACTCTTTTTCCGTTTTAATTCTCGCATCAAGTATCTCTAGTATCTCGTGTATCTCATGAGATATTGAAATACTCGAATAATTTTTCTTCACGCGAGAATCTCATGGGTAACGCAGGTGTTTCATAAGTAAGAGCCTTACTTTATTTTTCACCGTATTTTTGATGTATTAACCTTCGATTGGTAATGTACCTTTCTATTATATATGTAGTATATTTGCTATTTGTTATTTACTATCTGATATTACATTAATTGTACTATGATAGTTTGCAAACAAAAACTATATTTTTTATTAGTAACTGAAGTGGAATTAGATTTTTTAAATTTTAATATATATACAATAATTTGATATACATTACCAATATTTATTCTTAATCAATTTAATGTTACGTTACCAGTTGAAGATAAATCTTTTCCAGTCGGAAGGCAATTGTTAGTCACCATTCTGCATAATTCTGAAGATTTATGAAGATTTAACTCTTCGTCGGTAACAAGAATTGTATAAATATTACATGTTAATAAGCTTGATTGAAGTCCTATGTGATCCTTGTACATAACGATGTTTTAGTTTCGGGTTATTCTAGTATGGACCTGTATTACCGACGGAGAGTCAGAATATCGTAACTAGGATACTAGGATAAAACAGTTGTATAGGTTAAATACGTTTTCTCTATTGCGAGAAAGTCTTCGAGTGTAAAGAGTTTAAGAATATCAGTCGGAAACAAATAAAAAAGTATATAACTACAATTTGCACATTAGTGACATGTAAACGAAAGAAGTGCATACGTTATTTTTAAAAATATAACTACTATAAAGTTACATTGGATATGTTAGATAAGAATGTTTTAAAATTTTAATATGTACTTTACCTTATGATATATACTTTAATATTATACCTTTTGATTATACCTTAAGATATTATATTTAAGGATATTGATTATGAACCTCTTTTAGTTTTGTGTTCAATAGTTGTTTGATAGGAAAACTTTGTATTGGGAAGGTGAGTTTGTGAAGATGGGTGTGATAATTTAACGTAATTAATCAATTTTACTTACAGAGAGATTCGATACATTTTAATATTTTTTCGTAAATATTTCGGGGTCAAATAAAGGTCATTTTATTTCGATTATTTCTTTGCTATAATGTATATAGTAATTTAAGGAATTATTATTGCTACAAATAATTTTTATTATAGCTCTTGTAATATTTACTACATTCTCCAATTTTGCGTTATATGTACGTTGTTACTGTTTTCCACGATTGAACAATTACTGCTTTCAGTTCAATTACAGTTTTAAATTAATAATTATGGAAGGTAATTTAGTCAAATTTTCCAAGTTTTTCAAGGAATTTGAGTGAACATTAGGTCAGTTTAAACACGATATATTATTTTTCAAGAACCGTTATCAGCTTTGAATGAATGTGTTACCTTGTATAAATATGAGACTCCTGACTGTGAAATAATATCAGGTTATTTTCAAACACATCGATGATATAAATATTTTTAATTTAACTTTATCTAAAATAAATATAACAGTTTCTTTTAAATCAAAAAGCAAGATAAAGTTGTTTATGAAGTGTCTCTAAAAATTTCTCTTTGAAAACAATTTTTCGAATATAACCTCAAATATAGTTGATCGATATTCTATCTATCTAACTTATTTAAATTATATTTTTTCTTATTATTATATACATTCTATAGTGATAATTATGAAAATATTTGCTACTCAAAAAGTTCAATGTTTATAATACTTTGATAAGTGATATTTTTGAAAATATATTAGAAATACATACTCTGTTTACGGATTGTTCAAAACTGTGATTCCTAACCTATAATACGCAAATCACTAGTGACATGTTGAATATTTTCAACTAGTACAAACGTGTATGCTATACAAATATGTATAGTGTGTTATGCTACACTTAATGTTAATTTCGGGAAATGAAAACTGTCCGAGATATTAATGAAAAATTTTTCGTATTATACTACGTGGAATAAGCTACTACATTTCTTCTGTAGTAATAGTCAGTTTTTATGTAAATATTACTTCTTTCATCAATAAGTATAATTACTATATATAAAATTAATATAATTATTTATATGTAT